GAGTTTGACATGATGAAATTAATGAATGGTTCTGCAAATACCTCTCAGACTGATCAAAATCAATAACTCATGAGTTTGAAACACTGACGTGACAACAAGCGAGCACATTGCAATAGGTAGATGTTTTGTTTATTTAGTATTTTTCAGCTCAGTCTTCACTTACAAATTAGCTTAAACTCTCTCATCCTCTGTAGATTCAGTAACCGCAAAAAATACATTTTCAGAGTATTTTAGTCAAGTATTTTAGGTACAATGTTCAGGTGCTGTTAAGTGGAGTGACAATTCATTAATTTTTTTAATTATAAAAAATGGAAATGGTTTTCAGTTGCCAACCCTAAAGAACGGTCCTTATTATTAAAAACTTTACAATAAAGCTTCATTTGTTAACATTAGCTATTACTATATTAGTTAACATGAAATAACATTGAACAATACTTGTACAGCATTTATTCATTTTATTTTTAATCTCAACTAATACAAATACAAATACCTCTAAACTAAATAACTCTATCCATAATATTGCTTTCTCCAGAAAAAAAATTTAATCTGAATCAGGAGAGAAATATGCACAGATCAAACACCATGCACAAGCAAAAACAGTCCAAAACAGTTCTAAACAAATATGTCAGTGGATTCTGATATGAGAGGACAAAAGGGGATGGACTTTTTCACTGGAGGAAGTATTATTATGGATTATGGACTCATATTTTTGCCAGGATTACTTGTGGATTATTGTGATGCTTTTATCAACGTTTGGAGTCTCATTCTGACGGCACCCATTCACTGCAGAGGACCCATTAGTGATGCTACATTATGTATGCTACACTCTAAAAAATGCTGGGTTAAATATAACCCAGCGCTGGGTTAAAAAGGGACACTCCAAATCTGTTCTGATGAAGAAACAAACATCTACATCTTGGATGGCCTGAGTGTGATTAAATTTTCAGCAAAAAAAAAGAGAGCTTATTGTAAATTGCTATGATTATTCCTGTGATAAAACACTGTTTTTGTTTTTTGTTTGTTTGCATGCAACAAGAAGCACTTTTGGGCATCAATGCAAAATTGCACCACATAAAACGAAACAGTAAACATACGCGGTCATTCTGCTTAAATAACGCTCCACATCTGGCATGGGCCTGCGCCGCTGATGGAACACCCGCACAGAATTTTTATTTCCCTTCCCAGCAGCCTATTTCCCTCAGCCTCTACTTAATCACAGAGGTGTCTGAACTCTAAAGGTGTCAACAGGAGAGATGGGGCATGAATAAGAAGAGCGAAAAAAATGGTGAGAAAGATAGACAGAGACTACGAGAGAGAGGGAGACTGGCGAAGTGTAAGAAAAGAGACTGCGTGAAAGACTGTAGACACAAATCGAAGGAAGAGGATGAGAGCAAGAATATTGAAAAAGAGCAGGTTGGTCAAATGGCCAATATGATGCTGATATAATGCTGATATAGTAATGATGCAAGTAATAAGCTAAAGTGGTCAGCCAATGGCAATATTTTGTTCTAAAAGAGACTATACAATATCATCAAAGTTTCTGTCCTGCCTGTGCTGACATCTGCAGACAGTTGACCATCTATTAAATCTAATAAAAGCACTGAACAGTGGCACTTCAAATAAGAAATGACCGCTTGAGTCTGTTTCAGTACAGACAATGAGCCTTCTATTCTCACTGAAACACAGGCTCAGTCTAAGCAGAATGATCTATTGTCGACTTGGTAAGTCATTTGTTGATAGAGGTCCAGATCTGTGCTGCCTGATCTTCTTTAAACCATAAATCTACTAAATCACTAGTTCACTGAAATTAGTATCATCAGTATATAAAACCAGAGAGATCTGGAAGCCGGAAACGTCAGACTATAAACAACAACAATAAAAGCTACATAAGCTTAAAAAGCATTACTATTTTCACGGAAGCTCATAAGAGCAAAAGTAAAAAGAGAGGGGAAAAATATTGAGATTACTGAACAAAAAAAATAGAGAGCAGTAGTTCTTCATTTACAAAAAAAATAAAAAATAATTCAATGCCAAAAAATAACAATTAACATTCCTTTGTGGTTTCTTATAAAATGGCATATTATATCAATATACCAAGTTCAGTGAATTTCCAAAACCAATGACTAATGTGCACAACTAGTCAATGTAGATATAAACATATTTTTTATAGTAAATAAGCATCATCCACTGCTTATGATGAATAGATTAATTCAAAATGCATAATTTTGCATAATTTACCACAAAATATCACAAAGTTATAGTAACTGCAGATTTTTTTCCTCAGAAATAAATAAGCTCCTCAGCTAGTTTGCTCATGTTAGTGCTAACAGAATAAACCTTACGAGTGCTTTATTGATTCCCATGTAATGCCACATCTTATGAAACCCCCTCCAACACTCAAACACAGTACCTCATTTAGCCAAAGGGCTTTGTTGTGGATAAACAGTTTCATTTTGCACCCAAGAGCTGCCCAGGAATTCCATAGCAATTCGCTCTTTGTTGTGTTAAGAGTAAATTGCAGAAAAACGTGTGTATAAAGTACACACTTGGCATTAGTGAGTATGCAGTTTCTCATGGGGAGTATTTGTTCTTGACAGAGGCTTTCAGTGAAAGCCGTCCCTCGATGTGTGCATCTCAAAAGACATGGAATGGAATAAAGTCTGTCCCTGGAGTGTCTCTAAAGAGACCGCTGCTATTGTCTGACAACTGCAGCTTGTTGCTCCTATTAATTCCCCAACAAGAGTTTAGAGGCGTCTAACCCTTCTGCAGTGCTGACTACAAAAGGTGAAGGACTGTGAAAAACTCAATTCGACCAAAAATGATGCTCATGCATAGAAATAATTAAAACAGCAGGAATAGTTTGGCCAGAAATGAAAATTAGCTGAAAATGTATTTACCCTCAGGCCATCCAATACATAGACGAGTTTGTTACTTCATTGATTTGGAGAAATGTAGCATTCCATCACTTGCTCACCAATGGATCCTCTGCAGTGAATGGGTGCCGTCAGTATTAAAGTCCAAACAAATGTAGCAAATAAAAACATCACAATAACAAGTCCACACAACTCCAGTCCATCAATTAACATCTTGTGAAGTGAAAACTGCAAGTTTGTAAGAAACGGATCCATCAAGATGTTTTTAACCTCAAACAGTCACCTCTTGCGAAAATATTCCATAATACAAAATAATGTTCCCTCTAATGGAAAAAGTCCATCTCCTGTTGTCCTCTACAATCAAAATCCACCAACATTCAGTAACTGTTTAGAACTGTTTCAGACTGTTATCTCTTGTAAACGGTGCTTGGTCTGTGCATATTTCTCTCCTGATTCAAACAAGATGAATTTTTCACTGGAGAAAGCAATATTAAAAGCAATAGTTAAAGACGTCTCGATAAATTTGTTACAAACAAGCAGCTTTTCATTTCACAAAACATTAATTCATGGACTAGGGTCGTGTGGATTATTGTGATGTTTTTATCAGCTGTTTGGACTCTCATTCTGACGGCACCCATTCACTGCAGAGCCTCCATTGATGAGCAAGTGATGGAATGCTACATTTCTCCAAATCAGTTCCGATGAAGAAACAAACTCATCTACATCTTGGATGGACAGAGAATGAATAAATTTTCAGCAAATTTAAATTTTTCAGTGAACTATTTTCCAGCACAAAAAATACACCATGTTAATTACACCGTCATCTCACCATTGTTGTAAAATTAAAGTCAGCTTGTGTATAAAGCAATCTGTTTGACAGAAACACTTCACTTGTGCTTGGTTGTCTTAACTGCATCAGTGTCACTGCTGTTTCCTATCTGTATCTCTCAAGTACTTTCTCACTTCCAGACAATAAAAAAGTCCTACAGATAAGGCCAAGTCGCACTAAACGCAAGTGTCACTTTTAGCCACCTCTGATGTGTGTTATCAGACCTCAGATGGAGGCACTGAATGACCAATATGTCAAACTATAGAGTCCATTAAGATTTGTAATTGCATTGCCATCTAAACATTACATTATTCCATGCATTCACCAGACACCAGAAAAGCTCAGAGGAAAATGTGGGAGAAGTTGACCTATTCTTGCAGTATACAGCCAGCAGTTTTCAAAGGAACAGTATTTACACACAGGTGGATGGTTGGTTGTAAAGACCAGGAAGTACGGTGAATAAAGAGAACCTAACAAAGCTAAATAAATTATATGAAAAGCATTTGAGGCAAATAACATAAAGCTCTGAAAGCTCTCAAACCTAAAAGTAAAAATGAATCATTACAAAAGTAGTACAGTGAGAGGAAAAAGTACATTTTCAAAACCATTTGCAAGCTCATAAGGTAAATAACTGGGATGCGCTTCATTAATATCTCTCCAGAACAGCTGTTTGGTTTAAACAAACACAGAAATTACAGGCTTCTACCAATAATAATAATAGTAAAACCAAAACAGATCTAGAATGAACTTATGAAAACATATTTCTGCACTAATTTTCCTGTGCATGTCCAAGCAAAGATGGAGAAAGAGAAACTATAGAGTAGATGCTCTGAACATCTACTGTACCAAACATTCAGATAAACTGAACAGAAAAAACAAACAATGATCACCGCTGGCATTTGGAGGTTTACAAAAATGGTAATGAGACTCATGAAAGAAAGACTTAATCACAGACCTACATCAGTTTTAAATAAATGCAATGTGGGTTTGGACACTAAATCCACACCTCATTCTTAATCATGGTAATCAGAAAGCCTCCCAATGACAACAGCAAGTTTTCAGATTCTACATAACTCACATTATGTCACCCTTAGGTTATTGTAATGACCGCCTAACTGCCAAGAGCCTAATAACTGACCTTCCTTAAGGCCTGGGACATTGTGTATTACACAACATTTTTAATTGTGCTTTACAACCTGTAAGAAAACTGAAAAAATAAAATAATATTCTGATGGAAACAATAAATGCTTTCACGACATACATAACCCAAAGGGCTCGTAAAATCCAAACAAACAGACCTGTATTTCCTCATAGGCCTCGTCAACGGTAGTGACTTGGTGCTGTTCGTGTAAGGCAGGCTCATCGCAGAAGAAGCACACCAAGCTCTTGTCACTTAAGCAGAAGAGCTTGACCTTTTCATGGTCCTTGCATGGGTACGAGTTCCTCTGGGCGTTCAGGATGGCGTCCAGAGGGAAAGCAGCATACCTCTCCACGATGTTGGAGAGCTTCAGGCTCGGGGACAGAAGGGGATCCGTGAAGGTCCTCCTGCACTCCGGGCAGTCTCGCGGCCCGTGGTGCTCCTGTCTGCTCCAGTGCTCAGTGATGCACTTACGGCAGAAGTAGTGCTCGCAGCCGAAACTGACTGGGTCTTGATAAATGCTCAGACAAATGGAACACAAGAGCTCGTCTTTCAGACAGCAAGCCATTTAAATCTATGGAGGGGTCGGTCATGCACTGTGCAGGTAGCAGGACGCACGAACCCTGAGTTTCTAAATCAGCTGGGCTCTTTGAGGCTTGAAAATGTCCCTCTACTGATTCCTGAAAAAGAGCATAGACAAAGCAAATAAGTGAGACATTAAAAAGACGGTTCTGCAAAAGGCATACTTTTTTGATATGTTTGATATTAGACTCTCAGATAAGCAGGCAAAAAGGCTTTAGACATGGACTTCACCCTACATTATAATGACTTGATCAGCAAATGCAGATAAATCTGATTGAAAGAGAAGAAAATTATGATACTCCTTAATTAAAGGAGACTCGCCTGAAAATCTGATTATTTACTGAACTCATGATTCTGCAGGATTCAATAGGATCTTATCAAGCCCATTAAAAAATTATTACATTTTCATTTAAGAATCTGAAAGGATATTCCCTGGCTAATGAAATACATTCATTTCTAAACGAATTTTATACAGACTGTCACTCAGTCACAAAGGAATCTTGTATGGACACTCAAACTTGCAGACAGACAGAAAGACAGAAAGAAAGGAAGAAAGAAATGGCTTAAAATAATTTTTAAATGTACTTTTTCGTATTTATTATTTTCTGTATTTATTTTTTATTCTTTTTTATTTATTTTCCTATTATTACGTGTATTTGTTTGTTTTTGCATTTAATTTTATAATTTTATTTTTTAATTTAACTTACTGCAGGAATGAGCGTCCATAATCTTGTCAAATTTAAATAAGATATTAACGCATTTAAAGATCTTAAATTATTCAAAATGATATTCCCTCGCTACTCGCTAATTAAAGACATTCATTTATAAAACAGGTTAATTTATACAGACTCCCAGTCAGTCACCAAAGACTTCAACTGAATTCAATATAACAAATCTGAAATTATCAAAATAAAATTTCAATTGCTAATGAAACACCTTGAATCTCTAAATCAGGTTATAAATACTGCCACCATAGACTTCCGCTGAAGTTAATTGGATCTTATCAAGCCCATCTGTTATACACATCAGAACGCTTCTGTACTCCATGGCAAACGCACAAAAGTTATGAACATCACTGCTTTGTTTTAAAAAACAGCTTTTACATCATTTCTCTTCACTCTGTCCATGATTTCCTTTTTATTGTTTATAAAAGCCGGCTGCTAAATAATTAGCCAGCTAGCAGGATGTGTAAACAGATTTTCCATCTATTCAATCCTCTCAAAAAACTGACATTATCACTTCATTCGCTTACCCTGAACGTTCCTGACGCGTTGTACACTGGAAACAGCCGACTGTCACATAATTGATAGAGCAGCTCGTTGTTTTAATTAAAAATGTTCATCACGTCAGACTCTTCAAAGGCGAAGCGACCGACCGCACGCGCAGCTCCTCACAATCCCACCGCTCTACACGCGATCCAGAGGCGCACAGCAACGGAGCGAACCAACTCCACATGGGGGGGGACACACACACAAACAATGGCAATCTAATACAGCTCTCTCGGGACTTTTACTTTTGCTTTAAGGAAATTAAGTAAAGTACTTGCCTCTGATTTGTCTTTATCATCTGGGCTGGATTCGTGAAGTATATAAGACATTTTTACACGAATGAAGGGTGAATCCCTCCCGCTGCTGTGATGGTACAGCTCCGGCTTCCTCATCAAGGGAAGAAATGAGCATATGATAATATCAGAGTGATTGCTCGCACTCTGCTGGCGTGTGTTTGTAGGTCGATACGAAATTTGTTCTTATACAGTGAGTTCAGCATACTATTAAATTAAAGAAAACATCTAAAAATAATTATAACATTTTAAGTATTTAATTTAACATAATTGTAAAATGAACTAAAAATGATCAGAAAGAATAACATTATATATTTTAATTTAGTTTATGGTTTTCTTAATCTGCAATGCAAATTATCAACTTTTGTTCAGGTGTATAGACTTCAACAGATAGATAGATAGATAGATAGATAGATAGATAGATAGATAGATAGATGATTCCTAACCTTTTATTTATACAACATTTCATTGTAAATTTTTTATATTTTTACTTATACAGTACCGGTCAAAAGTTTGGACACGTTACTATTTTTAATGATTTTTGAAAGAAGTCTCTTCTGCTCATCAAGCCTGAATTTATTTGATCAAAAATACAGAAAAAAAACAGTAATATCATGAAATATTATTACAATTTAAAATAATGTTTTTCTATTTTACCATTTAGAATACATTGCAATCACTCCAAAATAGATGACGACAACTCACACACCTGCATTAGGAGCTGAACATCTTTGCATGCCTTTAGCCTTTTGCTTCGCAGCACCTGAAGGATGTGTTCAATACGCAAACATTCAGAAGGCGAGACCCGCTTTGAAATGGCAACATTAATTGCTTTAATTGAGTGACAATTCAACTATATCCAACTAACAATTACTAACTATATAACTATAAATATTAAATAGTTTAAATATTTATTTAAAAAATAAAATAATAATTAACTATTAAATAAATATATTATATTATATATTATATTCTGAACAAAATTATAAACGCAACACTTTTGTTTTTGCCCCCATTTTTCATGAGCTGAACGATATTCCCTCGCTACTCGCTAATTAAAGACATTCATTTATAAAACAGGTTAATTTATACAGACTCCCAGTCAGTCACCAAAGACTTCAACTGAATTCAATATAACAAATCTGAAATTATCAAAATAAAATTTCAATTGCTAATGAAACACCTTGAATCTCTAAATCAGGTTATAAATACTGCCACCATAGACTTCCGCTGAAGTTAATTGGATCTTATCAAGCCCATCTGTTATACACATCAGAACGCTTCTGTACTCCATGGCAAACGCACAAAAGTTATGAACATCACTGCTTTGTTTTAAAAAACAGCTTTTCAAATCATTTCTCTTCCCTTTTTCCATTGTTTTCTTTTTACTGTTTATCCAAGCCGGCTGCTAAATAATTAGCCAGCTAGCAGGATGTGTAAACAGATTTCCTATCTATTTGGTCCTCTCCGAAAACGGACATTCTCACTTCTTTCACTTACCCTAAGCGGTCCAGACGCGTTGTACAGTGGAAACAGCCGACTGTCACATAATTGAAAGAGCAGGTCGTGGTTTTAATTAAACATTTTCATCAGGTCAGATTGTTCAAAGCTGAAGAGCGACCGCACGCGCAGCTCCTCTTAAATCGCACTGCTCTACTCTCGATCCAGAGGCGCACAGCAACGGAGCGAACCAACTCTACAGGGGACACACACACAAACAGGTGGCAAGATAAGACAGCTCTCTCGGGAGTTTGATTCGTGCTGTAAGGAAATTAAGTAAAGTACACACCTTTCATTTGTGTTTGTCATCTGGGCTGGATTCGTGAAAGATATAAGACATTTTTACACGGGTAAAGGTGAACCCCTCCCGCTGCTGTGATGGTACAGCCCTGGCTGCCTCATCATGGGCAGAAATGAGCATATGATAATATCAGAGTGATTGCTCGCACTCTGCTGGCGTGTGTTTGTAGGTCGATACGAAATTTGTTCTTATACAGTGAGTTCAGCATACTATTAAATTAAAGAAAACATCTAAAAATAATTATAACATTTTAAGTATTTAATTTAACATAATTGTAAAATGAACTAAAAATGATCAGAAAGAATAACATTATATATTTTAATTTAGTTTATGGTTTTCTTAATCTGCAATGCAAATTATCAACTTTTGTTCAGGTGTATAGACTTCAACAGATAGATAGATAGATAGATAGATAGATAGATAGATAGATGATTCCTAACCTTTTATTTATACAACATTTCATTGTAAATTTTTTATATTTTTACTTATACAGTACCGGTCAAAAGTTTGGACACGTTACTATTTTTAATGATTTTTGAAAGAAGTCTCTTCTGCTCATCAAGCCTGAATTTATTTGATCAAAAATACAGAAAAAAAACAGTAATATCATGAAATATTATTACAATTTAAAATAATGTTTTTCTATTTTACCATTTAGAATACATTGCAATCACTCCAAAATAGATGACGACAACTCACACACCTGCATTAGGAGCTGAACATCTTTGCATGCCTTTAGCCTTTTGCTTCGCAGCACCTGAAGGATGTGTTCAATACGCAAACATTCAGAAGGCGAGACCCGCTTTGAAATGGCAACATTAATTGCTTTAATTGAGTGACAATTCAACTATATCCAACTAACAATTACTAACTATATAACTATAAATATTAAATAGTTTAAATATTTATTTAAAAAATAAAATAATAATTAACTATTAAATAAATATATTATATTATATATTATATTCTGAACAAAATTATAAACGCAACACTTTTGTTTTTGCCCCCATTTTTCATGAGCTGAACTCAAAGATCTAAGACTTTTTCTATGTACACAAAAGGCCTATTTCTCTCAAATATTGTTCACAAATCTGTCTAAATCTGTGTTAGTGAGCACTTCTCCTTTGCCAAGATAATCCATCCACCTCACAGGTGAGGCATATCAAGATGCTGATTAGTCCACCAGAGCTGTTGCCCGTGAATTGAATGTTCATTTCTCTGAACTGGGACTACAAATGCAGACATGGTTTTATGTTTTATGGTTTTATGAGTGTTGCTCAAAACTACCTGGTGCATCACTGGTCAACTGCCTGACTAAATTACTGTCCTTATTATTGTCAAAGCGCTTTCAAATGCACCCACATTTCCTGACACTGGCCTCACATCTCACTTCAGAAGCTGACCTTTGACCACCAAACCTTTTGCTGAGTTATTCTGGCGTTCATGGTTTGACGTGCCAAAACAAATAAGAAATAAGGATGTCTTCTACACCTGTCCCCACTTTACAAGAAGAACTGCTGATTCATAAATTTCCTGCGGTTGTCAAGACACATTCATCAACGCTAGGTCTTCTTTATTTGTGTAGTTTCGGTGTGTGAAAATCGGAGGTTCTGTGGTTCATGTTCATTGTTTGCACCTCACAGTTGCAGCGCAATCAATATGTGCGTTCATTATGAAACTGTGCAACAAAGATACTATCAGAATTCATTCATAGCTTGCATACGTTGCATTGGAAAAGCGACGTGCTTTTAATGGGTAGGCTGTTGGTTTGCTTCCCTTCCTCAACCTGATGTCAGGATTTCCTGTCACAGAGTGCAGCGCAAACAAGCCATTTCCCACAAACTATGCTATCTCTTCTGTTTGCTTACTCATAATCATAACACTTGTGCTTTTAACACATTACTGTGCTTTCACAACAGGGATGGATTAGAATGGAGAACGCAACTTACTGAAATGACTCACTGCCAAGCACCTCTGGGGTTTCGGTATGCATTGCTGGCTCTGTGGACTTTTAGAAAATAAACTTTCATACTTGTGCTAGTTTATTTAAGTTGTCCTCTGACAATGTCCAACAGCAGACATTCACGCATCACGTACTTTTGGCAGTATTTTCTGGCAATATTTTGGCAACATTTCCAATGCCACATCAATATGTATCATCTATTGACACAGAGGGATGTAATCTGTGTAAAAAAGAAAAGAAAAAAAAAAAGAATTAAAATATAATAAAAATGAAAAAGGTAAGTTTAATAAAAAATAAATATGGTTCAGTAAAATTTACTGTGAGTGATATAACCGGTGTAAAAATAGATTTACACAAAATAAATAGTGAAATAATTTTTTTGTAGATGACCATAATTTTCAGATTTTTAAAAATAATTATTTTTAAGTTATATATACAGTATATAACAATAGTATCTTATGCATAAAGACGACTTAAATACAGTGGAAATAAATGGTAAAAAAAAATCTGTGTAAAGATGGATTTACACAAAATAAATATTGAAATAAATGATATAGATGAGCGAAATTGTATTTATTATTTTATTTCAAAAAATAATATTTGATGTTTTTTCATATTGTAACACTGAACGTCTGGGTCTGGGACAAGATAATAAAATCTATGCATAAAAAAGACAATGAAAATAAAATGGAAATAAATTTAAAAGAAAATAAATGGAGAATAATTTAATATAGAACATTTAATATATAAATGTACAGTGGGTACGGAAAGTATTCAGACCCCCTTAAATTTTTCACTCTGTTATATTTCAGCCATTTGCTAAAATCATTTAAGTTATTTAATTGCTTCTAGATTCCCATGCACAAAATCTGAATAAATCAAGTAATTACTCAGTAAGTTACAACGGAAAACCAGGTTTCCTGAAACAATCTCACAACAAACAGACTGTGGCTTACAGAAGACTTTGTTCCACGCTCAGAAAAAGAAAGCAGCAGACACTCCACAGTTCAAATGAGCAGTGCAATATCGACGTGGGAGTACAGCAACCTTCAAAACAGCCATAGAGGGCATGATCAATATTTAATCAGCTCCTAAAGGGATACTTCTCTGTGATTCCTTAAATCGGTTAACACCTGTATTGATCCACCGCTGGAGGCTTTCCTCCGGCCTCATATTAAAGACTCGTTAATCTTAAACTGCTTTTTGTGCTGGTGGTCTACCACTATATAATGGATGTTCTGGCAAGGAGAACCACAGTTTGGTCTTGACTACACTGTAGTTTGCACAGTTGACAGCGTATGAAATTCCTGTAAAGGGAAACATGTAAATCAAAGCAATACATAGTAAAAAAAATAAAAATAATAATAATAATTTAAACAGGCTTTAGACTGGTAGATTCCTCTTGCGTGATACCAGGGCATTTCTAGGTCACTCAAATGGATTTTTAGCCCATTTTATTGTCCACCAGGTGAAAAAAAAAATCTCAAGTTAAAATGCTTTTAAAGGAATAGATTACCAAATAATGAACATTTGCAGAAAATATTAATGCATAAAAGACTTGTATTTTTAGCTCGAAGCAACAATTTGATGTTAAAACTGACTTGATGGATTTGTTTCTTAATTGATGGACTGGAGTGGTGTGGATTACTTGTAGATTACTGTGATGTTTTTATCAGATGTTTGGACTCTCATTCTGACGGCACCCATTCACTGCAGAGGATCCACTGCTGAGCAAGTGATGCAATGCTAAAATAATAGCTTGCATAACAGAAAAATAATATAGACAACTGTGAATAATACTGTGCTTTATAAAAGTGGATATACAAAATTTTACAATGACAACTCATTTACAAGTTTAAAACAAATGTTTAAAAAAATAACTATATACATTCCTATATTCCAGCAAAATCTTTGGCGATATACTTGGCAATGCAATATATACAAAATGTTGATTCTCCATTGTTATATCTTTAGATATATACCCCCGGTTTCACAGACAAGGCTTAAGCCTAGTCCTAGACTAAAATGTAAATCTGAGCTGTTTCAACTGAAAGAAACTTGCACTGACTGATCTTGAAACATGTCAGTGCCTTAGTTTTGTCTTAAGATGCACACCAGAAATGCATTTTTCTAAGACATGTTTATAAAAATGACTTAAATGTCCTAATTGAACTATGACTTAATCCTGGTTTAGGCTAAGCCCCGTCTGTGAAACCGGGCCATTATATCTAAAAGTGTTGGACAACCTGTGTCTGTAACAGAAGGCTCTACTTATTTTTCATTCATCTCATGTAATCCCACAAAACTCATTCACCAAGTCTATAAATGATATGACAAAATATAAACAGTGAAACACCTTATAAATTTGCAAGGGAGGTAGAGAAAATAACAACCACTGGGTGGCGCTAGCTTCATATCTCTATATAGAAATCGAAATATCATTAATTTAGTCTCAACCAGGGAGGTGTAAAAACTTTTTACGTGTCAAATGTCAAAGACAATTACTGAATAGAGATAGAAATCATAAAACTTTACAATGAAACTTCACTGATTGCACTAGTGGTCGACCAATATATCGACACGGCCAATATTTGATATTTTTAAATGATCAGTATTGTTGACTTTAGCTGCTTGGTGAGTTTTTTCACAATAGATGTTCGGCATAAAATCTAATGATGCAAATTATTACTTTTTTTAGGTGGGCAGCAATTGTGTGTATGTGTAAATTACAATTAACAAATGATGTGAAACTAAATCAGCCTTTAGCCATCTTGCTCTTTAGACACCAGCATCGGATGGCAAAAAACTAACTAGCGCTTTAGTAATATGTGAGCTTACAAATACATTTATTTTACATGTCAGACTTCCATATTAAAGGAATAGTTCACCCAAAAATGAACATTTGCTGAAAATGGATTCACCCTCAGGCCATCAAAGATATAGATGAGTTTGTTTCTTCATCTGACCACATTTGGAGAAATTTGGCATTACATCACTTGCTCACCAATGGATCAACTGCAGTCGCTTCTGGCCAAAATACGAGCATAATTAATAAAAACACTTCCTCCAATGAAAAAGTCCATCCCTGCTGTCCTCTCACATTAAAATCCATTTGTTTACAACTGTTTTTGCTTGTAAATGGTGCTTAACCTGTGCATATTTCTCTCCTGATTCAGACTAAATGACTTTTTCACTGAAAAAGCAATTTTATGGATAGAGGACTCGTATTTTAGCCATAAGCAACATTTTTAAAGTTAAAAACGTGGATGGATTTGCTTCACAGCTTTTTGCTTCACAAGATGGTAACTGGTGGTGAGGATTACTTATAGATTATTGTGATGTTTTTTATCAGCTGTTTGGACTCTCATTCTGACGGCACCCATTCACTGCAGAGCATCCATCGGTGAGCAAGTGATTTAATGTTTCATTTCTCTATATCTGTTCCCATCAAGAAACAAACTCAACTACATCTTGGATGGCCTGAGGGTGAGTACATTTTCATTTTTGGGTAATTTATTCCTTCGTAAGGATCTACATATATATATCTATGTGCCAGAGCACGTTGACGCGTCACGCGCCGGATGTTGTGAATGCGCTCAGGACAGTTGGACATTGTGGTGTACGACGGGTAACAGACGCTGATAATCAGGTGTGCTGCTCGCCGAGGCATCCTGTTCTAGCTGAAGAGAACAAGAGACGGGAAAGCGATGAAATGAATATCCCAAAATGAAATGTATGAATGAAATGCATTTAATAATTTGTGACTTTTCAGTGTGTTAAATCTCTTTTTTTGGCAACCTGCTTAAAGGGATAGTTCACCCAAAAATGAAAATGTGATGTTTATCTGCTTACCCCCAGGGCATCCAAGATGTAGGTGACTTTGTTTCTTCAGTAAAACACAAACGAAGATTTTTAACTAAAACCGTTGCAGTCTGTCAGTCATATAATGGCAGTCAATGGGTCCCAGAGCTTTGAGAGTTCAAAAAACATACACAGACAAAACCAAATTACTTACCCCCAATCCAAGATGTAGGTGACTTTGTTTCTTCAGTAAAACACAAACGAAGATTTTTAACTAAAACCGTTGCAGTCTGTCAGTCATATAATGGCAGTCAATGGGTCCCAGAGCTTTGAGAGTTCAAAAAACATACATAGACAAAACCAAATTAAACCCTGCGGCTCGTGACGATACATTGAGGTCTTAAGACACGAAACCTCTGATACACCTGCCCAACTGTCCTGAGCGCATTCACAATCTCTGGCGCATGACGCGTCAACGTGCTCTGGCACATAGATATATATACGTAGATGCCTCATTAGCGACTGTTTCTATGGGCCGCAATAGGTAAGCAGTGTTGGGAGTAACGCATTACAAAAGTAATAATATTACAGTAGTATATTACTTTTTGCTGTAACGCAGTAATATAACGCATTACTAATAAAATTTGGGTAATATTATTACTCGTTACAATCCCAGTAACGCAAGTTACAACAACATATTTTAACTCAAAATTAAGTGGTGAATTTACCAACACCGCAAAACAGCACACATTATATGACTGACAGTCTGCAACGGTTTTAGTTAAAAATCTTCGTTTGTGTTCTACTGAAGAAACAAAGTCACCTACATCTTGGATGCCCAGGGGGTAAGCAGATAAACATCAAATTTTCATTTTTGGGTGTACTATCCTTTTAATAATGATGCATATATGAATATAAGGCGTCTTTCTCTTCCAGTCATCGTTATATATTACTTATAAATAATTCTATACAAAATTAATAGTAGTTATTAAGATTGACGTGGTTTGAAATTAGTAAAATGTAATAGTAATAAATTGCCTAATAATTATGCATGCACTGTATATTTTTGTATGGCAGAAATAAAAATAGTAGTATGCTATTCCTTTATATGGAAGAAAATGAGACATGTACACTTACTGTATACTACATATATATATGCAGTACATAGTATATACTCTGCAATATGAACTTGAAAATGTACCTTGTTGCCATCTGTGACTGGAACTTTTTGTAAACCTGCTGTAAACAAAGTAAAAGACGTCACCAACATCATCTAAGGTGCTCATTTCACATAATTGATGATGCTGATTCAAAAAGAAACTAATCTGAATCTGTTGTAAATTAAATGAAAATGCCCACAATACCTTTCCTCTTTCGTAACTTGCATGTAATCACCATCACTGCCAATATCAGCAAAACCAGAACAATACCAACAACAACGACTGGGGAGTGCAGAGAAAAAGACACAGATTAGAGAAGAATCGCAGCTGAAGTACAATGAAAGGTCACAGGCGACAGAAAGGAAGGAAGGAAATGTGAAAGAATTCAAACAATGAACAAGCAAAGCATCAAAAAGTCACTCACTGACAGATATATGAATAACAAACTCATAATGTTGTTTAATAGTTCACTTACAAGAGTACTATGTTTTATGAATATGATAATATTATACTATTCTTTAAAGTACCTCCATGAAGTACCATTTAAATACTATCACTTATAGAGTGCAATAGTCGGGTTCTGGAAGTAAAAGTCCCATTCATTTTGTCCAGGGGGGGAACTGTTTTTTTTTTTTTTACAATAACTTGCAAATCCTTGAAAACAGACCTGCTGTAAGCTACAGTGGTATATGCTTTTGTTGAAGCCGTCGGCCCGCGTTATTTCAGCTTATTCTTTAAAGGGGTCATATGATGCGATTTCAATTTTTCCTTTCTCTTTGGAGTGTTACAAGCTCTTGATGCATAAAGAAGATCTGTAAAGTTGCAAAGACTAAAGTCTCAAATCCAAAGAGATATTCTTTATAAAATTTAAGACTTGTCCACGCCCTCCTAAAACGCCTTTAATTGTACAAATTAGTAATTATGTCCCCACTGGATGCAACAAATGCCTCGTTTGTAATGTTTAACAGCAGAATTGGTGAAATTACTCATGATTCTGCAGAGAAATTTCCACCAATTGGGGAACTGCAACAAGCAAATTTGAACCAAAAAACTCTTTAGTTCCCATCCACTCCCATGAACAATTGCGAATTATATAAATTCAGCTAACAAAAATATGCTCTAAGAACATTTCGCCAACGTTCCCACTTCCCAGTGAGTTATGAAAACATTATTTCTGAATGTTCTCTAAATGTCCAGTTTTTTAAACGTTTTAAAAATGGTTTTTCTTGGTCAAATATGAACATTCCATTTGATCTTTTTACAAACATTATGGTAAATTTACTTTTGAATGTTCTCTGAACATTCTGAAACGAATAGTAACATTTAAAAAACGTTAGACAAATGTCCAAATCTTTAAATGACGTATAAAGGTTTTTGAGTGTTTTTAGAACATTATTAAAGACCGGATAACTTTGAACGAACATTCTAATAATGTTACAGCAAAAGCATTTATTCAGAACTTCAAGAGAACCTTGCCAGAATCTTCTGAGAATGTTCTCTGTTAGCTGGTATAGAGTCAATCATACTACACTCTCAAACAACTTAAATACTTGTTATGCATATTTTGCAATAAACACAAAATATATTGTTTCAACAACTGTTTTATATTTATCTATCAGTTTTAATGAGATTATGTAATTCACAATGCTTCATCGGATTGTATTTTTTCCCCTTATTAAAAACATTAAGTACACAATTATTGTCTTTTTGTTCAATTTTCAAATACTTTTTTGCTTCAAATCAAAGTTTGTAATATTGTGATTCGTTGCATAGCTGGTTGGTTTGTTTTATTGCATATAACTGTTTAACAAACACTTTTTAAAAATCCTTTTGGGAAAAATACTTCCGGAATCAAAGCTGTTGAAAAAGTGTACTTTGTAATACTTTATTCTGATTGGTTGATTCAAACATCTTTGCATGGTTTCCATGGTAACACCTTGGTACTTCTATATGGGTTGTAAACTAAATTCTAGTAGCATGGCCTCATATTTACCAAGGAAGTAGATCATGTCATCTTGACCCACTGGTGTGCTTGATATCGCTCTACTCGATGGAGCTAGAGATGAGGTGGTGGTGGTGTTCATGCGCTTCATTTCCTGCGTTTGGCCCCTTAAATTACTCGGTTCTTTGGGGCGAGTAGGCTTGGGTGAACTCTGAAGAGGAGCCTTTGTGAATAAAAAACTTTATTAAAAGTACGTAATCTTTTGTCAAATTCTTAAAAAAATTATATTTTATAAGCTTTTTAAAAATTTTAATTAAAACGACAGAATAAGAACAAGTAGAATAAGAAATATAAGTTACCAATCAAATTAAATCAGTATTAACAAAATTAACTGGACCACAAAACCATTCTTAAGTGTCAATTTTTCGAAATTGAGATTTATACATCATCTGAAAGCTGAATAAATAATTTTTTTGTGATAGGAAAATATTTGGCCAAGATACAACTATTTGAAAATCTGGAATCTGAGGGTGCAAAAAAATCTAAATATTGAGAAAATCACCTTTAAAGTTGTCCAAATGAAGTTCTTAGCTATGCATATTACTAATCAAAAATTAAGTTTTGATATATTTACGGTAAGAAATTTACAAAATATCTTCATGGAACATGATCTTTAATATCCTAATGATTTTTGGCATGAAAGAAAATTCATTGGCATGAATTTTTTGGCTATTGCTAAAAATATACCCAAGCGACTTAAGACTGGTTTTGTGCTCCAGGGTAACATTTGTGGTTTTAGTGAGTGTAGATATTAAGGGGAGGGGCATTTGAATACTAGAGAGCATTTTATTGGACAAAAGTCCAATGAGTCATCAATATTTTTTTCCCAGAAGAAGAGACTTTCGTCGTTTGAATTTCGTCAACTTTTACTTGTTTAGATGCGTTTAAAGCTAACAGGCATAGGCTAAAAGCTACACAACTCCAATTCTGACCACACACTTCTAAGTGTTTATGTACAGTAGCTAGATTATTTTGCCTCTTACCTTCTTTGATGACATATTCACCAGGTTTGCAGGATCTATATTTTCTGCATTCCTCACATTCTTTATTGAAATTACGCTTAGAACATAACATCCCGGGCTTGCAAACACAAACAGCTTTGGTATCAGCAGAGCAATTTGTGCCATACATCAGTCCTTTCACTAACAAGAAGAAATGGACAGCAACATGTTAAGTCTTTTAAAATATTCAATGGAAAAAATGCAATATTATAATAATACAAGTAAATTCGGTAACACTTTACTACAAGGTTCCATTTGTTAACATTAGTTAACATGAACTAAGAATGAAAATACTTCTAAAGCATTTATTCATCTTAGTTCATGTTAATTTCAACATAATATATTATTAAATGGACCTAAACTAAACTAATAATGAACAGTTGTATTACAAAGAACAAAGATTAATAAAAACTGTAACAAATGTATTGCTCATTGTTAATGCATTAACTAACATTAACTAATGGGATGTTATTGTAAACTGTTACTGTAAATTCATAAGAGACTGTGATATAAAACTACGTGGTAAATCAAATCAGCATGTTTATGTTTAATCTGTACATTTATATTTTATAATACAATTTGGATTGAATTTTCTAAATGGAATATTTTATGCAAAAATGCAAATTCTGTCATTTACTTGGAAGACATACTGTAGCTTTGTGTGAGGAACAGTCAGAAATTTAACCTTTTCTTCTCTACATGTTCATATTCAGATTGCACAAATGAGGTTTGAACAGAAGACTACAGATTATACTTGAAATATAGTGCAAGTCATATGGTGAATATATATATATATTTTTGTAGCCTCTGGTCACCATTCACTTTCATTGAACAGAAAAGTGTGCTAAACTTCTCATTTTGTGGTTTACTGAAGAATGAAACTCATAAGGGTTTGTAAGGGCAAGAGGGTAAGTAAATTATGACCGAATTAAATTTCTTTAAGACATATACAAATTCCAGATTAATACTGAAAAAAGACTTTGTCATTGCGGAGTGCTTCATTAAAATAGCCAACTTACCACCTTTACACTTTGGACAAGAGAAACAGTTGGAAAAATGGTTCACGTTTTCAGAGTACTGTCCATCTTGGCAGGGTTCACAGATGGTGTCCGAAATACTAGTGCACATAACCGCCAGATGAGTCCCTAGAATAAATATAAACGATTCAGAACTTGGAGTTGCTTCTAAACATCACAAAAACAGTGATAGTTTGGCCTCGTAAACCAACAAGTAATGAGTTTATGAACACAAATGTTTACATTCTCTCCCACGCTCCCCTTGGTTTATGACATACCTGGTTTGCATCTACTGCAGCACAATCCCAGGTTTTTGGCGTAATATTCAAAGGCTGTATTACATGGTCCAGATGATCTATATGGCGGAGGTGTCTGTGAAAACAAAGAGGAAAAAGCCAAAAATATCAGTGACATTTTCCTTGGATTCTCAGGAACAGATACTTGTCTTGTGAACGAAACAGTACCCACCACTTCCTCATAGTCACAATATATGTCTTCTCTTTAAATCTTTTCTCAGGGATGCTAATGCTGCTACAAGGGTATTTAGCGTAGGACAGTTTATTTAGCGCAGGCGTTTGCACAAGGTTCACCGACATGAAATATGTCAAAAACAGACAAAGCAAGCACAAATATCCATTTGTACTGAAAACGCTGATGTGATAGTTTCAGATCTGCACTTGTCAGCTACAACAAAGAAGCTCAGTAACAAGTGACAGACTTGGATGATATTTAGTCATTTGGCAGTTTAACAGAAACATTCCCTTTCGTGTCAGCAAGAAGCTACTCATTTCTGTGCATCGTTTTTTTTTTCCAACAATTTTGAAAAATAAGCTTTTGTAAAATAATATCTGAAAAAATTTAATTGTTATATCAATCTTAGCATAATATCAGTCAACAGCCATCCTGATCACTACAAACAGGAATCGCCACTAATTTGACATTCAGATCTGCGATACCATTTGGGTTTTTCCATGCTGTAGCCTGTTGCTGATGTAAATATAGGGAAATGGGACATACAGAGTTTTCCTGAAATAAAACACTTATGTTGGCACAATATTTACTCATCTGAAAAATGTTAATGCAAATTTGCATTATCACATTGTCAAGCTGGTCAGTAGGATTCGGAAATGACAGAATGAAGAGTAACTGACATCATATTCGACTGTCCTTTAAAGGGGTCATATGATGCGATTTCAATTTTTCCTTTCTCTTTGGAGTGTTACAAGCTCTTGGTGCATAAAGAAGATCTGTAAAGCCTACGCAGTGAAGAGGTGGACCACACGCATGGTATTTCTGCAGTGGAAACTGATGTGAACCGATACGAATAGCCAAAATGAGCCAAGGGCAATGGAGAGTGGCAAAGATAAAAGACTGATATTTTTTACCTCTAATGACCTTCTGACCACTATACTGAGTCTATTCTAACACTGACTCTGCGGTGTCCATGTGCGGTAAGTGTCCATGCAGAACTCCAAATGAATGTAAACATGATCAACACTGACAGAAGGGGAGGAAGGCGGAGCGGAGGAGATCAAAAGCAGAAGTGAAATCAGAAGGAAATGACTGTTAACTAGCTAAATAATAACGTGCAAATTAGTGAGGGAGAAATAATAATGACTGGGAAACTCGGATCGGGAAACCAGAAAAGCTCTTCAGAGGAAAAGCAAAGGGACTTTTGCAAAATGTTGGGAACTTTTTGACTGCTCTAAAAGTCCAGCTTGAATTTGTTTATCTGTTTGCAAAACTTGCCACAGATCAAATTTGCCAAGAGGTCATTTATGATATTAAATGATATGAATAGCATATTTGTGTGGAAGGAATAAAAAATAAAAGAAAGGTAGTTGTGACATTTTTATCGGAATTGCAAGTTTACATCTCTCAATTCTGATCTCAGATGGATTCAGCATAATCCCTCGTAGATTGTTCAATCTGTATCAGCACTATTACGGATCTCTGAATCTAAAAAGGAAGTTGCTGGAGAATTGCGCTTTCCGCCGCAGACCAAAATGCACAGAATGATTTAAGAGTTGTCGTAATCGAAAGACACACTCACTTTATATGGTGGGTTCTTACAAATGACTCATTGATAATTGACTAGAAGAAACTGTCTGAGATGAAAGGGCTACCATTAAAGATGACTTCAAATAAAAATTTCAGCTTATGAAAATAATTTCTGCAAGAAATAGACATCCTGATATAATCGAACAGATCAGACGTTACGAAAAATGACTGCATCATCTCTAAAACCACTGACGTCTTCTCAAACGCTCAAGATGTTAAGAGGAAATTGCTGAGGTGTGTTACTGGGAAACGACCCACATATACAGGCCAGCAGACTTCCTCCATGCAACAGTGTGCTTTACTGAAGAACAGAGACCGAGCGCTTATCTTTACAGCCAACCAAACCAGAGTAAAAGCCTTTCTCTGAGCAGATTACACCAACACGCCCAAACACATTTACACACTGAATGCCAAAAGCACACATGTATTTCTTGTTAAAAATGCATGCAGCCTACCAAGATCATTCAGTAATCTGTACATGAATCTTTTTATTATTTAAGCAACTGCATGCTCTTTGTTCTGAGCTTCAGCACATTTCTCAGTCACAGCAGGTTTATTTCCCCATGACTTATAGATCATGTAAGTGGTATTACAACAAGTAGAGCAAGTGGAACCTGAGGTGCAACTTTTTAAAGAGTTGACTAAAGGGACAGAAACACAGAAAACAAGGCTGCTTAACAACACTTCATTTACATGCTCACTTGATATGTGGTAAAGTATGCAGATGTGTTCTAGTTAAACTGCATTATACGTGAACTCCCCACCTTCTCAATCTAGACCACAAGAAAAACTAGCTAGAAAAACGACTTGACATTACTGGATCCTTCCTTTCTTGACAGCACTTGCGTGATGCCCAGAGATGCTGCACACTTGGTTATGATGGCTAAAACTGCGGTCTTTAGGGTTCATTGGGTTTTTCCTCTCGCTTATGTCAAATTATAATATATATGTAAGTACTGTAGATGAATAGGCTTCGCCTATGCCCATGATGCCCAAAATGTTGCCTAAATAGGCAGCACACTATGTTTTAAGATACCTACACATAAAAATAAAGGTTCTTTATTGGCATCAAAGGTTCCATAAAGAACATCCACAGAATCTTTCCATTCCACAAAAGAAAGGTTCCACAAAACTTTAAAGAGTAAAAAAGTTCTTCAAACTAAGAAAAAATCCCATGCCCGATCATTGCACACTTTGTTTTGCCAAAGACACTCAAAATGCTGTCTATGTAGGCAGTATATTATGCTTTATGATGCCATCTAGGTAGGCAGGTCATTCGGTTTTTCCCAAAAATATCGTCTATATTGGCAGATTGCTGGGTTTTGCATATGCCCATTATGACAATACAGTCTATGTAGAGTGGTGCTTATGCCCAAGATGCCCAATGCTGTCTAACTAGGCAGCACACCATGTTTTAAGATACTTATGATGCTAAAAATTGCAGTTTGGTCAAGCAGTTCACTTGTTTTGCCTATATTGTGTTCAAAAATGCTGTGTAGGCACACTAGCTGTGAGATTCTTATGATGCCCAGCTCATTTTGGTTTGCCAAAGACAACCAGAAATGCTGTCTATGTAGGCCGTATATTATGTTTTATGATGCCCATGCCATCTAGGTAGGCAGGTCATTTGGATTTTCATGTCGACCACCGTTCTCAAAAAAACCACACGAGCTTGCTGGGTCTAAGTAGAGTGGTGCTTATGCCCAAGATGCCCAAAATGTTTTCTAAATAGTCAGCACACTATTTTTTTTTTAAGATACCCATGATGCTCAAGAGTGCAGTTTGGGTAGGTGACTCACTTTGTCAATGTTGTGCCCAAAAAATGCTGTGTGGGCACATTATTTGTGAAATATTTATGATGCCCAGCTCAATTTGTTTTGCCACACACTCAAAAATGCTGTCTATGCAGGAAGTTACTTTATGCTTTATGATCCCAAATATGCTGTATAGGAAGGCAGGTCACTAGATTTTCCATCATTCCCAACAAATATGATTTAGGTAGCTGTCCAAGATGCCCAAACCCATAAATATGCATCACGCTACGTTTTAAGTGGTCTATAATGCCTATGTAAGATGTCAATACATGTAGTTCATTAGGTCACTATGACGGTGACACCCACAATGTTGTCTACGTAGGCAGCACACTAGGTTTCGCATATGTCCAATAATGCAGTCTAGGTAGAAAGCGCCCTTAAAGTAGCCTATGCACGTGATACGCATAACAGCAGGCAGCTCGCTATGATTTGAGACACCAGCCAAGCACGCAACCTCTGCTGGAAATTCCAGCAGCGCAAGAACAGAACATAAGTGAAAATAAATATATCTTTCATTTCTACGACTCACATTTAGAATCCGAGAATAACGTTTGTTTTTCGTTTAGTGTTTTTCAGAAGAATCTTTTCAGCTTTATCAAAACAAACTTGTGAAAGTCATGCAAGTATAAGAATGAATCATTACATTGCGTTTGTCCGCAACACATATAAACCTGTTCGTTACCTTCCCCTCCGCCACGCGCCACACCGCCGCCATAAATAAAAACCGTGAGATGAGAATCAGCATTATCCTTCAACGACCCTCGAGACTGAATTCCGACTGACCATCACTCACGCTCTCCGCGTCCCGGAAATGTTGCACGGCAGTCCCCCTGCAACCAGGAAGCGACAGCGTGTTTGACACAATCACAGAGCAGACCTCTGAAGTGAGCGACATGAGCTCCTCCTGTACTTTGGAGTCGAAAACTCTTTAAACCTGGGAATAAGGATTTAGGGAAAATAACACTTATGAGGTAAATGAAGAAGAAATAATTGAGGTTCTGCACTGTTTCTATATTTGTGAAAATGATGTAAAATTTTCAGTTCAATCACTCAAATGTTACATATTAAATAAGAAAAATGAAAAATATAAGCATTCCACGGCTTTATACACACATATATTTGTGTAGTGCACATATACAGTCATGGCCAAAAATATCGGCACCCTTGGTAAATATGATCAAAGAAGGTTGTGAAAATTAATCTGCATTGTTAATCCTTTTGATCTTTTATTAAAAAAATTCACAAAAATCTAACCTTTCATTAGAATGTTTGATAGAAAGAACGGAAGATAGAATAATAGAACTAGGAAAAAAACGATAGAAGGACAGACAGACAGAAAGAATGATACATTGACAGAATGATTGATTGAAAGAATGACAGATAGAAAGAATAATACATAGAACGATAGAAAGAATGAGAGAATGATAGAAAGAATGATAGAATGATTGAAAGAATGACAGAATGATATATAGAAAGAATGGTAGATAGAACGATAGAAAGAGCTACAGAATGATAGAAAGAACAATAAATAGAATGATAGAACATTACTAGAACCAGGAAATATGACCATATTAGCTCGGTTCTGTCAACCCTGCACTGGCTCCCTATTGAACATTGCATACATTTTAAAATCTTGATAATTACTTATAAAGCCCTGAATGGTTTAGCTCCTCAATACTTGAGCGAGCTCATATCGCATTAGTCCTTCACGTCCGCTGAGATCTCAAAACTCTGGCCATTTGATAATACCTAGAATATCAAAATCAACTGCATTGTTTCCATTTCTTTAACCTAGCATACTCATAATACACTATCACATTTGGATTAGGATTGTTAGGCTGCATTAATTAGGTCAACCGGAACCGGGAACAGTTCCCATAACCCAATGTACTCACTACATCATAAGAAGAATGGCATCTACGCTAATATTAGTCTGTTTCATTCTTATTCCGAGGTCACCGTAGCCACACGGATACAGTCCATATCCAGATCAGATGGTGGATCATCAGCACCTGTCCTAGAGATGACCTCTATAGCCCTGAAGATAGATAGATAGATAGATAGATAAGAAATATTACATAGATAGATAGAAGGACAGACAGAAAGAATGATACATAGAATGACAGAATGATTGAAAGAATGACAGATAGAAAGAATAATACATAGAACGATAGAAAGAATGACAGAATGATAGATAGAATGTTTGATAGAAAGAACGGAAGATAGAATAATAGAACTAGGAAAAAAACGATAGAAGGACAGACAGACAGAAAGAATGATACATAGAATGACAGAATGATTGAAAGAATGACAGATAGAAAGAATAATACATAGAACGATAGAAAGAATGACAGAATGATAGAATGATTGAAAGAATGACAGAATGATATATAGAAAGAATGGTAGATAGAACGATAGAAAGAGCTACAGAATGATAGAAAGAACAATAAATAGAATGATAGAACATTACTAGAACCAGGAAATATGACCATATTAGCTCGGTTCTGTCAACCCTGCACTGGCTCCCTATTGAACATTGCATACATTTTAAAATCTTGATAATTACTTATAAAGCCCTGAATGGTTTAGCTCCTCAATACTTGAGCGAGCTCATATCGCATTAGTCCTTCACGTCCGCTGAGATCTCAAAACTCTGGCCATTTGATAATACCTAGAATATCAAAATCAACTGCATTGTTTCCATTTCTTTAACCTAGCATACTCATAATACACTATCACATTTGGATTAGGATTGTTAGGCTGCATTAATTAGGTCAACCGGAACCGGGAACAGTTCCCATAACCCAATGTACTCACTACATCATAAGAAGAATGGCATCTACGCTAATATTAGTCTGTTTCATTCTTATTCCGAGGTCACCGTAGCCACACGGATACAGTCCATATCCAGATCAGATGGTGGATCATCAGCACCTGTCCTAGAGATGACCTCTATAGCCCTGAATGTCAGCGGAGACCATGTCAACTAGACGAGCTCTAGAGACAGATCCCCTGTGTGAAGACCTCATCACCTCGTCGGCCATCGGCACAAGCCCACAGGAACCAGATGAGTCTTCTGCACAATCTGACCTGTGTTGCAGCCTGGAATTAAACCACACCATGCTGGTTTCATCTGGCCAGACGAGAGCTGCCCCCGACTGAGCCTGGTTTCTCCCAACGTTTTTTCTCCATTTTTGTCACAGATGGGAGTTTTGGTTCCTTGCCACTGTCGCCTTTGGCTTGTTTAGTTGGGGACATTTAATTTCTGGCAACATTGTCGGCTTGATTGCTGATGACATCACTGAATCAACAATGAACTGACTTTAACTGAAAAACTGATGGTTTTCTATTGTCCTCTTGCATTATTGACAAACTGTTTTCCTGTTTGACACTTTAAAGCTGCTTTGACACAATCAGTATTTTATAAAGCGCTATACAAATAAAGGTGACTTGACTTGATAGAACAATAGACAGAATGATTGAAAGAATGACAGAACGATAGAAAGAAAGACAGAACGATAGATAGAATGATAAAAAGAACGACAGGATGATAGAAAGAACGATTGATAGAAAGAACAGTAAATAGAATGATAGAACAGACAGAATGATTGAAAGAATGACAGAACGATAGAAAGAAAGAGAACGATAGATAGAAAGAATGACAGAATGATAGAAAGAGCGACAGGATGATAGAAAGAATGATAGAATGACTGAAAGAATGACAGAACGATAGATAAAAAGAATGACAGAATGATAGAAAGAGTGACAGGATGATAGAAAGAACGACTGATAGAAAGAACAGTAAATAGAATTATAGAACAATAGACAGAATGATAGACAGAACAGAATGATACAAAGAACAGTAAATAGAATGATAGAATAGACATAATGATAGACAGAACGATAGAAAGAACAGAACGATACAAAGAACAGTAAATAGAATGATAGAATAGACAGAATGATTGAAAGAATGACAGAACGATAGAAAGAATGATAGAAAGAAAGACAGAAAGATAGAAAGAAAGATTGATAGATAGATAGATAGATAGAAAGAAAGAAATAGAATGATAGAACAATAGACAGAATGATAGACAGAACGATAGAAAGAACAGAATGATACAAAGAACAGTAAATAGAATGATAGAATAGACAGAATGATTGAAAGAATGACAGAACGATAGAAAGAAAGAGAACGATAGATAGAAAGAATGACAGAATGATAGAAAGAGCGACAGGATGATAGAAAGAATGATAGAATGACTGAAAGAATGACAGAACGATAGATAGAAAGAATGACAGAATGATAGAAAGAGTGACAGGATGATAGAAAGAATGACTGATAGAAAGAACAGTAAATAGAATGATAGAACAATAGACAGAATGACTGAAAGAATGGTAGATAGAACGATAGAAAGAACGACAGAAAGATAGATAGAGGGGGAGAGAGAGATTCTGTAATTGTTGAAGGAATGGATTTTATTGAATTCATGTTAATAAAGCATCAGAACACATTCATTGACAAATTTACACAAAAAAAACAAGCAAAATGACACACACACAAGCTCACGTGAATGGAGGATGTGACTGAGATGTATGAAGCATCTTCTACTGCAACACTAGAAATGTCATTTTGATCATGTTCTGTAAAGGTTGCAGGGTGAACGCAGTCTGTCCCGACTCGACCTCCTACAACAGTCTAATCAGACACTTCTTTCCGAAGGTGAGGTTGGGTATTTTTTAGACATGCATATGAAACACCCACACAGTAGAGCAAAAGTCTGTTTAGAAACATATAGATGTAGTCGTTAGGTTCTCGACCACTCACTTAAACAATAAAACAATTCATACACACCATGTGCGTTTCAATTATACTGCCTATATCTTATAGGACACACGTTATGAAAACTCCTAACACCTTTGAGGGTGTTTTTCTCACCCTTTTGTCTTTACCTCCTGTGCACAGTCTTCATGCTTGTTTTTGTCCCAGTTTTGCTGCAGCAGCAATTCAGACATGTGCATTTATAAAAACTGACTAACTTAAATTAAGCAGAAATCTTTTTCTTGATGCGCAAAAAAGCTAAAATCATTACTCAGCGTTTTCCATCTGGTACATCCGTGCATTCGGTATTTGACATACAGTGCAATCAAGGTAGCCTGTACATTTAGTCAGCGTGCATGTTTCTCTGGAACTGAAACCATGACTTGGGCATTGCTGATGCCATGCTTTACCAGGAATCTGAAATCTGGCAGCTTGTGACTTTTCAGCCTTGTGATTCAACCTGGAATCTTCCTGAACGCCATTCTGAAGTTCATGCAAGAAACCACGTTCGAGTTCTCACTTTTCAGTTGCCGGCACAGGAAAACTCAAGCTCAGTTCCTCCTCAGCCTCTTCCTGTGCGCTTATTCGGATTCTGACCTCTTGCGAGGGTGGATTTGACTCTTGCTGCGGTCTGCTGATGAGGGGAACGCCTTCTTCGCAAAGTCCTGCCTCTTCCTTTTTATCACTCGAGTTGGAGCCCAAAATCACCATTCCAGGAGAGTAGATGTAGATGGATCCTAATATAGACAAATGATGATGAAGTCAACATGATTGCCTACTTAAAATCAAAACTGACCCCTATTAAAGCCCTAGGCACAGGCAGCATACTTATACTGCATTCTGAGGTAACTTTTTGGCCAAAATCTAAATGGAATCATTATTTTTTTATATTTTTTGAGTCTCTTATGCTCACCAAGGCTGCATTTATTTGATCAATAATACAATAAAAAACAGCAATAATCTGAAATATTATTACAATTTTAAATAACGGTTTTCTATTGTTATATATTTTGAAATGTAATTTATTCCTGTGATGCAAAGCTGAATTTCCAGCATCAATACTCC